TCAACTTTAACGCTTCGAAAACAAAACTGCTCTCTATTAATCACCACAGAGATCCTTCCCTGCCATCCATTAGAATGTCTGACGGTCAACTTCTCGAGAGCACCTCTCTGCGGCTGCTCGGTCTCACGTTGACTGCTGACCTGAGATGGAACAAATACATTGAGCCAATTGCTTCGTCCACCGCAAAGAAAGTTGGCTCCTGTTACCGCGCCAGGAAATTTTCTCCCAGAATCGATCCTCCAGATCTACAAATCAACAATTCACCCTTGCATAGAGTATTGCTGCCATATATGGTCTGGACCCCCTTCTGTTTGCCTCGGGGTTCTTGATAAGCTCCAGAGGCGGATATGCAATTTAATTGGCCCTGTTCTGGCATCTCGTCGACAATCGCTCTCTCACAGACGCGCCGTCGCCTCTCTCTGTCTTTTTTACAAATACTTTCATGGTAATTGCTCCGAGGAGCTGCATTCGCTAGTTCCCAGACTCCATGAATTCAAGCGCCCAACGAGGCTGGCATCCCGCTCCCACCCTTATACTGTAGAAACTACAAAATGTAGCCGTCTCTTCTACTCCAATAGCTTCATGTTTCGCACCTCTCGCCTGTGGAACTCCCTTCCCTATTCCAGTTTCCCTGAGAGCTATAATCTCCAGCTATTTAAATGTAATGTCAATCGACATCTCTAGTTACCTTGATCTATCCACTATCCTTCTCCTCATCCTTTCCTCTATCACTCCTATCTGATCTTGCTCCAAATCTTCTGCATCCTAGTGGCTTCCCGCCTTGCTTGGGGTGAAAAGCTTAAAAAAAAAGACAGATACAAGAGACAAAGACAGCCCAAAGAAAAACAGGAGGTCTCAATCTCTTGAATCACCCTAACCCTACCATGCAGGGTTGTGGAAACCTCCTCTGATAGGGGCTCATTTCACACAGAAGGAAATGTCTATGAGCACCTCAATACTCGACAACGAGTTTCGCCAAAGTCGATGTTGATAAACTATCGTATGGCACATGACTTGAAAATTAGTAAATCTTGCTTGAACTACGGCAGGAGCATTGCGGATTTTTCATTAAATGTTACTTAGTCTGGTATAAGGGTACAGTATAAGGAGACCTACCAAGAATCTAATTCGCTACACGAGACAGAAGTCTGTGAAAATCCCCATCATGATGAGTCAGGCGTTATATATAAATAAGTTTTTGAGAGACAGTGAGAGATACAGGAAGAGAAAGTGAGAGAGACACATATGCAAAAAGAACGATTCCTTGTCTTTCTCAAGCGAAAAATAATAAATGGATTCTGTTGTGAAAGCTTCTCTTCAATTTGCACGTGTTAACAATAAGAGGTGAAGGGCAAGAACATTATTTGTCAGCAGGAAGAGAATTCAAGGAAGCAACAGAGTTTTCTTTAATTCTCTCCTGATTTGTCTGCATCGACCATCCATTAGCGGAGCAAACATCATTGTTCCCTCATTGTTCACTCTGTGCAGGCCGTTGAATGGCAATAGAGAACTCCGACGTGGACAACTTCTTTGCAAATGCGGCGTCTCATGGACTTTGGTCGTGTGTATACCGTAAAGGAAAAGATCGTTCATGCGTATGACAAGAAATCTTCAACCGATATCCCCGAACAATATTCGAAGAGTTACCCAGAGGAAGGTAGGCGTTGTTTGGGTCGATAAGGAATATGGATAGATCCTGACGGGGAGGACAGTTGCAATGTGATAGCCAACCGCAGATTTACATTTACCCTAAAATGAAAGAAGAAAAAAGAAAAAGGAAAATAGATACCCAAGATTGGTTAAGGCCTATCTTGGAAATTATATATATATATAAAAAGAAACATACACAAACATTTCGGGGAACAATAATATTGTTTTCTTGAGAAGATAATGGATCTCCTTAAAAGTCAACATCTGATATCTTACTTGTAAATAGACTATAAGCACCCGTAATAGAGCCGCTTCCATTAAACAACAAGGAAACAAGATAGGTCGATGGACATATAGATATATATATATGTACTAAAATAGATGATTATAACATTTATTTGTTACGGATTTTATAAGTACATTAATGTAGAGGTGCTGGGTGTGAAAATCGAGATTTAGAATATTACTCTTACTTGAAAACGAATATATTACTGAGTCTGAAATTATCTATTAGTAAGCAAATTAGAAAAAGAAGGAGATACGAGAAGGTGCTGAAAAGATCTCAGCCCTGCCTAATCCCTACAAATCTAACCAATTGATTAAATATTTAAAAAGGCAAACCAGGAAAAATTATTGATCTCGTCACGAGCTTTCAAGATAGCTAGCTAGATAGCTAGCTAGATAGATAGATAGATAGATAGATAGATAAGGGACAGTCTTTGATAGATAGATAGATAGATAGATAGATAGATAGATAGATAGATAGATAGATAGATATGAACGAGTAAACGTATACGACAGCGAAACAAACTACAAAAACGAAAAAAAGATCTCTTTAGATGTCAAAAGATGAATTCTCAACAGTGATTAAATTTATTGATCTAACGTCTATAACAATCAGGTTTCGGAATTCAGACATTTACATGGTTAGCGGCTCGGATTGAGGAATCGGAGAACCGTGTTCGAATTCCAGTTGAATCAATTACATTCACTTATACCTAATACCCTTGGGAAAGGCATGAAGCCTTTTCTCCCATAGCAGGACAGACAGGATTCTACAGCCTTGGATGACAATCGGTCTAACGCAGAAAGAAATGGCAACATACTTCGGAAAAAAAATCTGCCTCGACAGTCATATATCGAAAGATACATGATCGCTTAAGCGTGTATCACGCATGGCACATAACTGACTTAACATTTGCTCGGAAGCTATGGGTAAATAGCAGGACAGACCGGGTTCTATAGCCTTGGATGGCAACTGGTCTACCGCAGAAAGAAATGGCAACCTACTACAAGAAAAAAAATCTGCCTCGACAGTCATATATCGAAAGATACATGATCGCCTAAGCGTGTATGGCGAATGGCACATGCTCAAACACCTCTGCTCAAAACTGACTCCAGACGTTATAATGAAACATGCAAACCACTAGTCGAGCTACAACCAGATATTAATTGCATATTTTACTAGTACTGAATGTATGAGCATATTGAATTGGTTATAGGAAAAATATCAAGTCCTATAAAATGGAGACGTTTTAGTTACTATGAAAATCAGCATTTGATAAGCATAATGTCTTGTTGCCTCAATTCTATGATTAGGTGTAGCAATTTCTTTTTTTATGACTAAATGCTATGACGTTAAACGGTTGACATAATTGTTAAAATAAAATGACAATAACCCAAGGAAATTAATTACCGAATTGAATGCGTTTTGAGTGTCGACAGCTAATTCATGTCATTTGAGAACTAGAGTGAATAATACGCGTATGAAAATCTTAAGCAAAACTACGCCCCACCATCCACATATCATTTACACGTGACAATTAACTTAAAGCTAATGTTTAATTAATTGAATTATCTTTAAATTCAATAAAACAATAAAATATGTTTGAGTTATTGAAGATATTGGAAAGAAAAGAAGACTTTAGTGAGAAATTCTTTTTTTTTTATTTCAGATTCAATCAAGTCACTAGCGTCTTTCATTCAGTGCGTTACAATGAAACATTTATGCATAGATAGATAGATAGATAGATAAGAACAGAATAGATAGATAATAGATAGATAGATGAGATAGATGAGATAGATAGATGAATAGATAGATACGAACAGAATGAGATAGATGATGCGATGAAATAGATAGATAGATAGATAGATAGATAATGAAAAGAATTAACTTGCTAAATAGATAGATAGATAGATAGATAGATAGATAGATGAGATAGATAGAAACAAAGATGATAAATAGATGAGAACATAGGGACTATGATAGATAAATAGATGGATGGATAGAAACAAAACGATAGATGATGAGAATATAGAGACTATGACAGATAGATAGATGAATAGATATGAAATAGAATGAGATAGATGGATAGATAGATAGATAGATAGATAGATAGATAGATAATGAGATAGATGAATGAATTAACAGAATGAGATAGATAGATGCGAACAGAATGAAATAGATAGATGGAGATAGATAGATAGATAGATAGATAGATAGATAGATAGAATAATGAAAAAGAATTAATTGATAGATACATAGGGACTATGATAGATAAATATAGATGGATAGATAGATAGATAGAAACAAAGCGATAAATAGATGAGAACATAGGGACTATGATAGATAAATAGATGGATAGATAGAAACAAAACGATAGATAGATGAGAATATAGAGACTATGACAGATGGAGATAGATAGATAGATAGATAGATAGATGGATGGATAGATAGATAGATAATGAACAGAATGAGATAGATAGATAGATAGATAGATAGATAGATAGATAATGAAAAGAATTAACTTGCTCGATAGATAGATAGATAGATATATAGAATGAGATAGATAGATAGATAAATGAATGAATAGATTGATGAATAGATAATGAATTAATAGATAGATAGATAGATAGATAGATAGATAGATAGATAGATAGATAGATAGATGAGATAGATAGATACGAACAGAATGAGATAGATAGATAGATACAGAATGAAATAGATAGATAGATAGATAGATAGATAAATAATGAAAAGAATTAACTAGATAGATAGATAGATAGATAGATAGATAGATAGAAACAAAGCGATAAATAGATGAGAACATAGGGACTATGATAGATAAATAGATGGATAGATAGAAACAAAACGATAGATAGATGAGAATATAGAGACTATGACAGATAGATAGATAGATAGATAGATAGATAGATAGATAGATAGATAGATAGATAGACTGAGTTAGATCGATAGATATGAACATACTGAAATAGATAATGAATGAACTGATAGATAGATAACACTTAAACCCGATCAAGTAAGAAGTAAGAAGATTATGTAGCGCCATACTTCCAAATCTACGGATTAAATATCGACCACTGGGAATTGAAGCAATAACAAAATGATATTTAGTATAATTTGTTAATCATAGGTCCTCCATATATTTTTAATCGATGCTACAATCCATTTAACATTCTATGAAGTTAGGCCAACATTCTAGAAGCTTTTGTCAAAATTATATTTTCGACCAAATCTGAAAAGTTACACTGATCGAAAGAAATGATAATCCGATGGCACTAAGTCAGATGAATGTGCCACGTCAGGAAGATTTCTTCTTCCAACTCTTTTTTTCTTTTCTTTTTTTTTTTTTTTTTCTTAATAGCATTGCTCAAATTTCGAAGGAGGCAAGTTAATTCAATACAGTACGATTTTCATATCCCAATAAATAGCAATAACTTTTTAAAAATGTTTTTTTACTGTTAATGTTGCACACTGTCGGAGATCCACCCATGATTTACGACGCTACGAATTATCGCAATTAAACCACTTTTTCATTTCTCGGCAGTTTTCGTTCTTCTGGGGAGAAAGTTTTTTTTTTTTTTCATATCTGGCAAGAAGTGAAATACAATTGGTGAGACATGTTTCAATGATGACGCCATATTCCCGCTTTGTAAAGCATGGGGCCATCTTTTAGCAAACACTTTTCAAGTGCTGAATGATTAATGTCAGATGTTTTCAATAGATTCCAACATTGATTCAGAAGGAATCAGCAGCAGCAGCAGAAATTGCAAACCATTTCTTCCAAATCCTCACAGTACTACACGGTATGGTTTGTCAGCTTCACTTTTCTTGGAATTTTGTAAACAATTCACGATCCGTACTTCTTCCAAAACTGGGGAGTTTTCTATGGGCTTCATCAATCATCTTCTTCGCTTCTGCACAACTTGAAAAAAGGAACAATATGCGGTCCCTGACATCATAAATGGACCCAAATACCGACTTTCAACGCTAGATTCTGTCTCCAGGTTTCAAAAATAAGATTAGGACAATGACAATATTTGCATACAACTAATAACTTCGTTGCTAAATAGCTATACGCCTATCTCGCCATTTTTTCTTCTCACCTTCATAATTTCTCTTCTTTCCCCTTACACACAATTTTGGCAATATATATGGAAAAATTTTAATTATTCTAGCTAGTCAATATATATGGTGTATTGGTTAGTGAGCTTGACTCGCTAGAACAATTACAACCGAGTAGTGAGTTCGATCCTCACTGGGTGCCCCCTACTTTCGGCTTTGTGCCACATTTAAGCTACGCTTAGAAAATCACTATGTGTGTGTGTACGCGCACGCGTATGTGTAGGTGGGTGGGTGTGAAAATGTAGGTATAAAAAAATTATCAGTAAAAGGCATTCATATATATATATATATATATATATATATATATATAATTATTTATTTAAAATATGATTCCAAATCGCTACATAAGAGGTCTCATGTTTCAAAACAAGAGCCGAAAACTTCAATATAATCCTTTAAATTAAATTGAGTTGAAAGTAAATTGGGCTCCGTTCCATCTTCAAGCGAAATTTTTTGTTGGAATAACGTATATCTGAAATTTACTTGTTTTAAAATTGAAATCAAAATCACCATGGTAACAGCTAGGGCGAATTGTCTAAAATGGGTAGGCGAGTGTAGGGTGTTAATGATAAGTAGCGGTATAGAGATACTTTCAAGGTGTCAAGTCGGGGAAGGTGAGGGTGTCAAAATGAAACGAAGATGTATTAAGCTTTCGTCAAGTTGGCTTGTCTATGGAGATTTATTTATTTATTTTATTTTATTTTATTTTATTATGAAAGGGAATTGTGCATATAAAAAGAAAGACTTTCGTAACGTTTGTTTTTGACGACTTCATAAAGGGTTATCTTTTATGTAAGGTGTTTAAACTACTAATTTGGGCTATGGATTATGAAAGGGTGTTATGTTGTATGCAAGTTTGTAGTTAAAAATTTCTACTATGAATCTGATGATTGGATTATTTGTTAAACAAATTATATAAAAAAATTTTTATTTCAAACCAAAAATCTGATGATGCCTACAAAAAACCGTTAACTCGTGTCTATTATTTAATAGATTATTATTATTCAGAAGTTTAATAATGTGCAATTTTTCATGGAGGCACAAAGGGCATGGGTCATCCCAAGCTTTACATATTCTAGCCTATTCTACCCATTTAAAAATGCATTTTAAATTACGCTTATTCCTTGCTATTATAAAAATTTTGTACAACAAAAATTTGTTCATATATATATATATATATGTGTGTGTGTGTGTGTGTGTGTGTGTGTGTGTGTGTGTGTGTGTGTGTGTGTGTGTGTGTGTGTGTGTGTTACAGATTGTAATAAAAACATCATGAAATTGCTACACAAATGCATTCATATAACAATACTATGATTGTACTTATTCGGGCGATGGTTTGTAACTGGTATTTAAATAATTTTCAAGCAAATTCAAATACAAAGTTTTACCTCTTTTCCAAAAGTTAAAGAGGGCGGACATAAGGTCAGAATTAAAAATAGATTTGTGGGTATGTTTTGATTAACCAATTAAATGTCAAACCTACGCTAAATAGAAAAGTAATCTCAAAGGGTGGAGATGCGTGAGTAACTTTTATGCCATGATAAACCGGAACATAAACAGGGCATATATTGCTCTACTTTGTATTGAGCACTTTTTAAAAGTAAAAGCTACGAACAGTGGAATTTTGCTCCATCTTTTTCTCTCGTTTATATATATATATATATATATATATATATATATATATATATATATATATATATATATATATATACAGGAAGTATGTCATTATTGAGGTACGTGTTATTGAAGAATACCGAACTTTTCCGTTTAATAATCTTCCTTTCGTTTTTTTTATTGCGGTTCGCAAGTTTTGTTTTTTTTTTAATTTGGCCTCAATCGTTGAAAAAAAAAAACAGTCTTTGGTGTTTTGCCGAACGCTTTCAATTGTCAACCGTCATCATGGCTGTATGCTTTTGGTTTTAAGGAAGATGTTTTATTTTTTTATTTTATAGGTAATATTTTCGGGCATTCAGACCGTGGTGTTCGAAAGGAAGATTATTAAACGAAAAAGTTCTGTCACCTTCAATAACTTATTCATACCTCAATAACACACACACACACACATGAATGAGTGGACAGGGAGGAGAAAAAAAAATTATAAAAAATTATACCAACAAAGATGCTAGAAGCGCAGCACAGCAAGTCCAAGCAAACAATCTCTTGTTTACAAAGAGCAGGTTACCTGGACCTGATGTAAAGCGACTCCAACACCTTAAGATGGAATAATGAGTGGGAACTGGCCAAAACGGAAAACCAGTTCACACTGAAATCCATCACACAAGTGGGATTCTTTATAAAGTGATCCGCAATCTAAGATCCATACGTTTTACGAATGGTATCGCAAAAAGAGATTGTTTGTTTGGACTTGCTGTGTTGCGCTTCTAGCATCTTGGTTGGTATAATTTTTATAATATTTTTCTCCTGCCCAATCATTCATGTTATCCATGACAGACTTTTTCTTTTTCTTTTCCTCATAATTTTAGTTCCCCGTTAACAGTTCTGATGAGAGGGACGAAACCGGTCGATCGGTGTGTTTTTGTTTTAAATCTATCATGGCCTACAATATAAAATTTCTTAATTTTATATATATATATATATATATATATATATATATATGAATCGTAGGATTTTGTTTGTAGGTCTTGAAGATTGAGAGCTGCTTTTTTAGAACTCTCATGGAATAAAAATTATTACCTATGGGATTTTAAGTGTTTGATATTCTTTGATTAATATTAATTTTGCCGTTTTTTAACATAGAGCTCTTCCCAGATCTATATCCTCCTGGAAATTATATAGGAATTACCATATTGTACCATTACTATATATATATATATGTGTGTGTGTGTGTGTGTGTGTGTGTGTGTGTGTGTGTGTGTGTGTGTGTGTGTGTGTAAAATGTAAAAGGCTCAAACACTAATATTCCATGGTTATAATTTATTACATTGGAATCGTAATCACGATCCAATTTCAGACCTATATATATATATAAGGGGAAAGTTTAAAATGTTTGTTTTTTTTTTTAATTCAATATCTACATTCTTAGGAGCTATCAAGTTTTTCGATCCCTAACAGATTATTTTTTTTTTATTTAAAATATATAACACTCACATATAGATTATAAACAGTCCAATATTTAATGTCATTCCCAATCGATGTACGCATTTTTAAATTAGATTTATATTGCTCCTAAAACTGCCAGGATGATGCTAACGAAGAAGACTTTTTTTTTTTCTCTTTTGTAACTAATAACATTTCGTTCCTCATAATGACGAGAGATCTTCGAAAACCAGCAGGAATTTTGGACAGTTTCGCCATAAATTTGGTCCCGATGTGCAGTCACTTATGCTCTCAAAACTGGAAAGAAATAATGAAAACATTTAAGCAGACAAATCATTTCTCTCGTTTTAGATTAAAATGCTTGAATATATATATATATATATATATATATATATATATATATATATATATATATATATATATATATATATATATATATATAAAAAAAAAAATTACAATATTATATATGTCTATATGATTTGTTTTATACTTCAGTTAAAAAAATCTAAATTACGTTTTGCTTTGTATTTCGTTTAGGCTCTCTATCTCTCTATCTATCTATCTATCTATCTATCTATCTTTACTGCTCTCTCTCTCTCTTTTCCTTCTCTCTCTCTCTTTTTCTATCTCTCTTTTTTTTCTTTCTCTCTTTTGAGCTCTTTGCCTCTTTTTCACTCGACTTGTTTCAAAAAATTCTTTATTTGCTCATAAATTTCAAGAAGTCAGTGGTATCGAGTTTAGAACGCCAATATTCTGCGTGTGTGTGTGCGCGCACGCGCGTGATTTTACAGCCGAGCCTCGAAATCACCTTTTTCAATTGTAAAATGTATTTCGACACTCCTTATTCGCTTAATACTCTTACGTATT